ACAGCTGTGTGAATTTATCTTTCAGAAATGGTCTGAGATCTATATGTCAAAACACTCACCAGTAATTCAGACATGTCCCCAAATCTTCATCTCTCTCTCTCTCTCTAGCTATACCCACCCCTTCCTTAGTTCCTTACGAAAGAAAAATGGAACTGAGACTTTGAAGAGTATCTAATTCAACTCCCTCGTTATGAAAAATAATAAAACAATGGCCTGATGGCATCCAATGACACACTGCAAGCCCAGGGAGCTAACGGGCATCCAAGGACTGACATGCAGACCACTGAACTCCCCTCCCACTCTGTTTCTTAGTACCACACCACAAAAGACTGCAAGAACATGAATGTCATTCATCCCATTTCTCAAAAATGCCCATACAATAAACAAGACAAATGCCTCTTTCGTATATTGATACAGTTTCATTAAAAAGAGAAATGTACAATATGAATACATGATGCCCATAAACAGGTTTCAAAGATCGTGTCAAATGATTTATTGATACAAGCAGGAGAAATTAATTCAGGGACTAACTTGGCTTTTCTGACTTGGCTTGCCTGGTGATTTTACATCTAAAGACTGAGAGACAAAACAGCAATAAGTCTCATTCTCAAGCCAAGACCTTTGGAGTCTCCTCCAGCACAGTCTCACATAGGGCTGAATGGCAACCCCAAACACACAGCATGGGGTGGGGATGGCAGCTCTCCTTGATTTTCACAAGAGAGCCAAAGTGTGACTGTGGCCACTTGCCTCTCCAAAGAGCCTAAGAAAAGAAGCACAAGTTACTCCACGTGTCAGTAGGGATTTCCAGCTTGAACCACTGCACATGCCCTAGGCTGGCAGACAGGAACTGGAAAGGACACAGCTTTGTGGCCAGCCGCCAGCTGAACTTAGTGGCAGGCTATTTGAAAAAAAAAAAAGCAGGAATTATGCATGGAAAGATGTGGGGGGTGAAGAATGAGGGGAGAAATGCAGTGAGCTAATGGTCCTAGTTGGCATCTGCCTTTCGATTCAAAGGAAGAGATGGCACTTGTCCAACGTTTTTCTATTATTGTGCTATCAGCTGCCTCTTAGATTTATTTATAAAAGCTGAGACTGCCAACAGAGTAAGACAAAATTTCTGTTAATAGTAGTAAATGTTCAAGCCCCTTGAAATAATAGGGGTTTCAATATTTCTCCTACAAAGGCTACTTTCCTATTATTATTCCTGGCATGGGCTTTAGGACTTGTAATTATGGCCAAGCACTGTTAAAAAAAAAAAAAAAGTATAATAGCAAACAATGAGGTTAAATAGTACTACCTTGATTCCTTCATCTATTTTTGTAACATATTTAACAGAAGAATGATTTGAAACAAAGTGATGCTGGATATATCTTGCTGAACTGGCATTCTACCAAAAACATGTGTCAGTTGGCCCTTTCAAAACTCTCTATTATTGGTGACTATTACATTAGCTCTTTACTTTGAAAACTAGTTATAAAAGAGAAAGATTTTTTAAGAAGAACTATAGTTTCTACCCACTTCATGAGGGACGTTCCTCTGCACAGAAAAACGACAGTAAATAAATGTGCACGGAATGAAAGATCCGACTGAGGAGTCAGGAATGCTTCCAGCTTCCAGCTGGGATGTAGAAAGCTGAAAGAGCATGAACCCACCCCTTACAATAAAAACAAATGCTGGGCAATCTGCTAATCAGTAACTTTTCTTGAACCATCGGAGAGCTGAGAGCAGGGCAACCAACTAAACTGAAATCTAAGGAAAGACAGGTGCCTACAAGGAGAAATGGGACACGAGCACCTGTTTACCCAAGGCAGAGTGTCGGACACCGGTAACACGAGCACCCGCTTACCTAGGGTAGACTGTTGGACACAAGTAAGAATAATTCTGGTAAAATTGCTAACAAACTGATAAAGGCTGAGGAGGGGGTAGCAAGAGGACACAGGACCCCCCAGGGCTGTAGGTAGAAGAGGGATTTACGCCCATTCTTCTCAGGACTTCACCTGGTCCTGACAAAAGAGATTGGTCTGAGTCCGGAGAGAGTGTCCTTTGTGGTGCAGTCCTTAGGGAAAGAATAGTAGTCACTGCAGGAAAAGATATGAAACCCTGTCTAGATCTACTGCCCCTGTTGCTCCCAAGCTTTAATTGGCTGGGAGAAGAGCAAAAACACTGTTTCCCATAGGCAACAGGTAAAACCCTACTGCAGCTTATAGAGGGAAGGAAAAGCAATTTTTAAAAGCATAAAGTAACAAGCAACAGCTTGTACACTGCTGGAAAAGCGACTAGTGAAGAGAGAACCTCTCCAAGTCACAAGACAAATGAAAGATCTGAAACTGAAGAACAAGTAGACATTACAAAACATCTCTCTGGTAAATGAGCCCTGAGCCTATAGCAGAGAAGTTTGAAGCCTACAGTGTACTGAGAGTAACACACCAAGAACAAATCTCCCACAGCGGTCAATCCCTGACTACACTGCCTCAAACATATACACTAAAGGCCTAGTAGAAGGAGAGATGTATCCATTTCCAGGCATAAAATCTATTTACCTCAATCTCTACTGGCCTATACAAGATGTTCAGCTTTCAACAAAAAATTACAAGGCATATGAAAAAGCAAGTAACAATACACTGCCAAGAAACAAAATGAACAGAAATAGAACAAACATTAGACAGATGTTAGAAATAACAGACAGGAAATTTATAACTATCATTTACATATTAAAGACTTGAATGGAAAAGGTGTCCACGTAAGATAAGATGAATAATTTCAGGAGAGACACAGAAACCATATGAAAGAATCCATGGAAATTTAAAAAATGAAAAGTAAGAGATAAAGAATGCCATCAATGGGTCATCAGTAGATTTGATACAGCCAAAGAAAGAACCAGTGAATGTGAAAATAGGTCAAGAGAGAAAATACAAACAAAACAGAAAAAAAAGTGAGGGGAGAAAAACAAGCACAGAGAATTCTAGAACTCTTTTCAAAACAGGAAGACCCAATTCTATGCTGTTTATGTGAAATCTGCTTTAAATATAAAGCCACAAATAGGTTTTTTGTTTGTTTTTTTCATATAAACAGTAAGGGTAGAAAAAAAATACATCACGCAACCTCTAAATCAAAGAAAAACTGGAGCATCTATCTTAGTATCCAACAAAGCAGACTTGGGAACACAAAACTATTATAAGGGATAAATAGGGAGTTTTACATTTGCTATTATGATAAGGAAATCAATTTTCTAAAAAGACTTATCATGAGAGAATAGAAGGGCTATGTATGCATAGGGAGACAGTTCAGGAGGCAAGGTGCGTGGAGGGATGGACACAGGGAACAGGTGACTGTCGGGAGGAAGTGGGAGGAGAGCTGTTGTATTGTGGTGAATTGTGGTCACTGTCATGAGACAAAGTGTATGGGAACTGCTGTATGGAAAGTGAATTTGCTCTGTAAATTTTCACGCAAATCACAATAATAAAAATAAATAAATAAAAAGACTCATCATACTAAGTGTGTATGGAGCTACAACTGAGCTTCAAAAAGCATGCAGCAAAACCTGACAAAAAAGCATGCAGCAAAACCTGACAGAGGTGCAAGGGGAAACGGGTAAATTCACAATTACAGTTTTTCAATGAATGTTTTTGAGCATATGGAGCAAGTTGCATGGAAACTGATAAAAATAGACTGCCTGGAGGGCATTTACAGTAATGGGTACCAGCCAAGGAAGCTGCTTTAAAAATTGTTTATATTAATGCGGTGTAGTAAATTACTTAGTGTGGCTTTTCTACCCATGAGTCTTTGTAAATTCCAAGGTGGGATTTTCTATGAGCAACTAAGGAGCTCCTGATTGCTGAAGCTATCCACCTGGGTTATTTCTGTTGGGCGTGGCACAATACAATGTTCTGGGAGGTTCCCACTCTCTCTCATGTGCTTAGAGTTCTGATGCTGTGATTGGCTAGTTTGACCACCCTTCCGGGCTCAAAAGGAGGCCTCCTGGAGGCAAAGCTCTCTCTAACTGCTGGTTGAGGAAGACATGCTGCCGAAAGAGACACGCGTCCCTGAAAGAGACACGTGTTGCTGGGACAGAGATGCAAGAGACACACATTGCTGAGTGAGACACTGAGGGACCAGCACTGCTGGGAAAGAGACTGTTGGCTGAGGGACGATGGGCTGGGAGAGAGACTGAGCATTTTTCCTGAACTTGAATTGTAGCCTGTGGTGCTTCCCTAATAAACCCTCTAATCTGTGAGTTCTGTGTGGCCACTGCAGCAAATTATCAAACCCAGGAGAGAGGTGGTGGGTGCTTTGGGAGGAACGGTTGGTGAAAGGGCTGGAAGGAGGCAGCATGTCTGGCCTTGCAGTAATACGCCTTGGGTTACTGCTGGTAATCCTGTCTTCCTCTTGTAGGGTTAGAGGAGGTTGGAAGATGTGGCCTCCTTGCTGTTTTTGCAATTAATTACATTTTTATTTCCTTGGAAATGTTTTGTGATTGTCTTATTAACTATGGGACTCTAAACAGACATTTTTTTAAAAGGTCTTTATTATTTTTAGTCTTTTCTCCATAGAAAATTATTTGGTTTGAGTTTGGTTCTTTTATAAAATTTTGATCCCCCTAAGCTTGAGGAAGTGGCTTGTGGGCAGTACTTTGATAAACAGATCAATAGGTAGCCTGTTTTACAGATATGGACCCACAATGTAAACCTTTTTTCACACACTTAATATTTGTTTTTTGTTTTGTTTTGAACTTTCTTGACTTTAATGTCAAAGCAGAGTGTAGCAGCCCTATAAAAAGAACCACTTTAATAATACATACACGTCTGGCACCTTATTAGCTGAGATTGCTGGGAAGATGGCATCACACTCCATTCTTTGGCATCACAGTCCACACACATTTTCTTATCTACATACCCTTTTTATATAGTATTTCAAGTTTAACTTGCTACAAATCCCTCCTTTTCAGACATCTCCCCACGTGAGGTATGCTTCAAAATAAACGAAGGGCGCAAGACTCCTACCTCGGTCCCAGAGGCTGGCTCTTAATGCTCTCTCCAGCTGTTCCTCTTCACTTAGCCCTCCTGTGTATGCATCATAGTTCCTGGGGGCTTCTTCATAGTAGCCTGGCCTGCCACGTGGATAATGATCCTGATACCCAGAGTAGCCTGAAGGCACAATGAGAAGGTTACAGAACACGGTCACGGACTGCTCTTTTTCTGTAACATGGACTTCCTAGTTTGTGTACTCTTAAAACAACCAAACCCACTGCCATCAAGTCAATCCCGACTCACAGTGACCCTAGAGGACAGAGTAGAACTGCCCTATAGGGTTTCTGAGGCCATAAATCTTTATGGAAGCAGACTATCTCATCTTTCTCCCACAGAGTAGCTGGTCAGTGGGTTAAAATCACCTACCTGTTGGTTAACAGTTGAACGCTTTACCACTATGCCACCCGAGCTCCTTGTGTAAGCAAAGGCAAGAAAAGAATCCATGTTACTGTTCTGAGTATAGGAATGACCTTCCAAATGACGAGAGATGGTAAGTGGAGAGTGCCTCCATGAGGGCAGGCAATGACAGTCTCGTCATGCTGTATCCCCAGCAGCCACCATGGGGCTGAACAGGAAAGAAGATATTAATGTAGATGGTTGTAAGAGGTCCTGAGGAGTCCTGGGGTGATGTGATCAGTTAAGGTGCGTGGCTGCTAACCAAAAGCTTAGAGGTTTGAATCCACCCCCAAGCACCTCAGAAGGAGGGCTTAGCAATCGACACCTGACAAATCAGCCATTAGAAACCTTATGAAGCACAGTTCAACTCTGGCACACATGGGGTCACTGTGAGTCAGAGTCAACTCATGGCAAGTAGTTAAGATACTAGAGAAAGGCCTGACCCTACGGAGTAGATTCTTTCAGCTTAGAGCCATTTAACAAGTGAAGTATTTTCAGGGAAATCTTGCCTGGAGTTGAGGTCACAGATAAAACAGTAGGTGATGAAACCTTACTGCCCTGTGGCTCTATACTAAGGCTCACTACACACACTATAGGATTTCTGTGGTGGGCATCACACTGCAGCTGGTAGTAACTGTGTTGTGACACTCAAGTCAGTGTAACTGTAACTACGATTCTCTGTGTCAGAGAGTGTCACTTCTATTAAGGTGCTTGCATAAAACTGGTTCCTAAATAAAATGAGAGAGGCAACGTGGTCATTCAGTAACACTTTAAGTACCAAACCCACATATCCCAATAATAAAGGTTAGTAACAGAGCAGAGTCCACTTTTACAGGGTACTTATTTTCCTTAATCTTTTAAATTAGCTTGAGTTTACTCTTATTTTTTCTTTAATCAACTACTATTATGGAATCTGTTTGGAAGGGGGGGGGTTTATTTACCCCCAAGAAGATTACCAATCTGATTTTGGTGTGATGGGAGATAAGAGTCAACTTGTTAAGTTTTTCCCTCTTGCTGCCACTATTAGACACATAAAGATGACATTTCTAGTGCTTAATTAACATACTTTTGGTTATCAACAAAAATCCCTTTTACACAAATCCTGTGTTTTAAGTCTTCATACCAACCCACGTGCCTGAATTTAAGCTTCTTATTCCTTATTCCAGGAGCTCTGGTGACGTAGTGCCTAAGGCATTTGACTGCTAACCAGAAAGTTGGCAGTTCAAACCCTCTAGCTGCTCTGCAGAAGGAAGATGGGGCAATCTACTTCTGTAAAGATTTACTGCCTCAGAAACCCAGTGGAGGTTGCTGTGAGTCAGAATTGACTCAATGGCAGTGAGTTTGGTTTTCAGTGAGTTATTCCTTCAATACGAGTGTCCTCTCTATAACTGAAAGAGCAAAGGTGGCACAGTTTCTAAGGTATCTGACTGCTAGTCAGAAGGCTGATGGTTCAAACCCACCAGCCATTCTGTGGAAGGAAGATGAGGCAATCTACTTCCATAAAGATTGGCCACCTTAGAAAGTCAATGGGGATGGCTATGAGTTGGAATCAACTCGATGGTAGTGGATTTATTCCTTTAATATATTTCTCGTCTGTCAGTTTCTCATACTGTGGTGGCCAGCATACCAGAAGTGTCATCTGTGGAGGACAGGTTTCAGCACAGTGTCCAGGCTAAGACAAAACAGGAAGGACTTGGAGTGACCAGTGAAACCCTTATGGACGGGAGCGGAGCACTGTCTGACATACTGCTGGGAAATGAACCTCTCAAGCTGAAGGCTCTTGAGATACAACGAGGAGGAGCTAACTCCTCAAAGTGGAGTCCACCTGAATGATGTGGATGGAGTAAGGCTTTCAGGACCTTCATTTGCTGATATGGCACAATTCAAAACAAGAAGAAAACAGCTCTCAATTTCCATTAATAACCATAATGTGGAATGCACAAGTACGAATCTAGGAAAACTGGAAGTCATCAAAAATGAATATCCTAGGCATTAGTAAGCTGAAATGAATCAGAGAATCATATGGTCTGCTATGCCTGGCGTGACAAATTCAAGAGGAATGGTGTCACATTCATTGTCAAAAAGAACATTTCAAGATCTGGAAGTACAACACTGTCAGTGATATGCTTACAAGAAAGAACAGTTAATACAACTATTATTCAAATGTACACACCAACCACTAATGCCAAAGATGAAGAACTTGAAGATTGTTACCAACTTCTGCAGTACAAAAATGATCAAACATGCAATCACGATGCATTCATAATTACTGGTGATTGGGTCCCAAAAGTTAGAAACAGGAAGAAAAATCAATAGCTGGAAATTATGGTCTCGATAATAGGAAAAACACTGAAGATCACATGACAGACTTTTTGTAAGACCAACAATTTATTCATTGTAAATATTTTTTTCAACAACATAAATGGTGACTATACATGTGGACCTCATCGGATAGAACACACAGCAATCAAATCAACGACATCTGTGGAAAGATACTGGGGAAAAGCTCAATACCATCAAGTCCAATCAAGGCCCAGGACTGACTGCAGAACAGATGATCAAATGCTACTCTACAAGTGTAGGTCCAAGCTGAAGAAAATCGAAACAAGGCCACAAGAGCCAGAGTATGACCTGGGGTATATCCCACCTGAATTTACAGACTACCTCAAGAATAAATTTGACACATTGAATACTAATGACCAAAGACCAGATGAGCTGTGGGATTACATAAAGGAAGGAAGCAAAAAGTCATTATAAAGACAGGAAAGAAAGACAAGACCCAAATGGATGTGAGATGACAGCCTCAAACTTGCTCTTGAACACAGAATAATAGCTAAAGCAAGTGGAAGAAATTATGACGAGCTGAACAGAAGATTTCAAAGGATCCTGAGACTAAATCCCTTAGACACCCTTCAGACTGGAAACTGAACTCAACCCTATGGTTTAGCTTTCAGCCAAATGATACACAAACCCACTAGGTAAACAGTAACATCAGGGAGGTGTGTGCTTCTTAGTACATGATCAAAAAGGCAACACTTGCCTGGGAATAAAGCTCAGAAGGCAGGAAGGAATAGGAAGGAAGGATGAAGAAATGGAAAAAGTGCCATTAAATGGAAGGGATTGCAATAAATGTCAAAAAACAAAACGTGTATGGACTGTTAAATGGAAAACTGATTAGCTCCGTAAACTTTCACCCATTTCACAATAAAAAGTTAAGGGAAAGAAAAAAAGGGATTTCAAAGGGTGGCTCGAGAAGAAAAAGTGAAGTATTATAATGAAATGGGCAAAAACATTCAATGAGAAAACCAAAAGGGAAGAACATGCTTGGCATTCTCAAGCTGGAAGCACTGAAGAAAAAAATGCAAGTCTTGAGTTGCAGGACTGAAGGATTCTATGGGCAAAACACTGAATGATGCAGGAAGTATCAAGAAGATGGAAAGAATATACAGTCCCCATGTACCTACAAGAACTGGTCTACCTTCAACCATCTTAGGAGGTAGCATGTGATCAAGAACTGATGGTATTGAAGGAAGAAGGCCAAGCTGCACTGAATGAACTCCTGAAAAGCATGGCTCCAGAAACTGACAGACTACCAATCAAGATGTTTCAACACAGGGACACAGCACTGCGAATGCTCAGGAAGGAATGTGGAAGACAGCTACCTGGCCGACTGACTGGAAGAGATTCATATTTGTGCCCATTCCAAAGACAAGTCATCCAACAGAAAGCACAAATTATCAAATCATATCATTAATATCAAATGTAAGTGAAATTTTGCTGAAAATATTTAAAAAATGGTTGCACCTGTACATTGACAGGGAATTGCCAGAAATCAAGCCAAGTTCAGAAGAGGATGCAGTATGAGGGATACCTTTGCTAATGTCAGACTGAGAGCAGAAAATACCAGAAAGATGTTTACTTGTGTTTTATTGACTATGCCAAGACATTCAGCTGTGTAGATCATAACAAATATGGATAACATTGCAAAGAATGAAAATTCCAGAATACTTAATTGAGCTCATGAGGAACTATAAATAGACCACAAAGCAGCCGCTGGAACGCAACAGGATACTGCATGGTTTAAAATCAGGAAAGGTGTCTGTCATGGTTGTATCCTTTCACTACACTTATTCAATCCACATATTGAACAAATAACGTGAGAAGCTGGACTATATGAAGAAGAATGCAGGATCCAGATTGGAGGAAGATTCATTATCAACTTGCGGTACACAAGTGATACAACCTTGCTTGCTGAATGCAAAAAGGACTTGAACCATTTACTAATGAGGATCAAGGACTACAGTCTTCAGCATGGATTATACCTCGGCATAAAGAAAACAATCCTCACAACTGGACCAATAAGCAACACCATAATCAACAGAGAAAAGACTGAACTTGTCAAGGATTTCATTTTACTTGGATCCACAACCAAGACCCATGGAAGCAGCAGTCCAGAAATCAGATGACTTACTGCACTAGGGAAATCTGCTGCAAAAGACCGCTTTAAAGTGTTAAGGAGCAACGATGTCACTTTGAAGACTAAGGTGCGCCTGACCCAAGCCATGTTTTTGTCAATCACCTCGTATGTGTGTGAAAGTTGGACAGTGAATAAGGAAGACCAAAGAATTATTGATGCCTTTGAATTATGCTGTGGGCAAAGAATATTGTATATACTATGGACTGCCGGGAGAAAGAACAAATCTGTCTTGGAGGAAGGGCAG